AACTGAAATAATTTCTCATAAAAGAGCCAGCACAGAGATGTGTAGTACATTTCTATAGTTTTGTGTGTGCTGAGTGAGCAGATTTTTTTTAGATTTTAGAGGGAGAGCAATTGGGTTCTAAAATTTGGGGAGGAGAAAAGCTATCAGCCAGGGGTTCCTGCTCCTGATCATATCATTCTGAGGTAGAGGTAAGCGGGGTCTTCTTGGAGCTGAACTGGCTCCAATGTGACAGAATATCTGAATCGAGCCAGGACTCTGTGGTGGTCTCGGTAGCCCGTTTCCTGAACCAGTTCTCCAGGGCACTGCTGATGACAGCACAGCCAGCCTGGCTCATCGGGAGGACCTTGAAGGGCAGACCAGTCATTGGGGGCAGGGAGTCAATCCACTCAGATCCTGTTAGTTCTGCAAGCCAAAGCCCTAATGGAGTGGCTGACAATGGGTAGCTGGACATGCAGCGGGAAATCCTACCAGACAGCAATACTGATGGCAAGTTATGTGGTTTGAGCTGTTAAACTTCAGCAGTACCCCATCACACACCCTGGAGTCCCAAAGCCTTAGTTTTTGCCAACCTGCGCCTAATACCTTCCGGAATTAGGTGAGCAGGATCCTTCCCACCAGGGAGAGAGTGCGCATTCCATTCCAACAATCTATCTCTGGGATTTCATGTGCAAGCTTGGTTTTCTTACTCTTAAGTATGGTGATAGGTTTACATATGTATCAAGACACCTGGCTGACCAAAAAAAAATCATTCTGAAGCCACCCCTGGAGGTGAGCGGATGTGAATGTTGGGGGAGGACATGATGGGACTTGGAAATATGACTGTAAATGTATAACAACAAGATCACTATACTTACAGGCCTGTGAAGCCAAGACAGACTTTCCAGGTGTCCCAGCTTTAAATAAAAATTGCAAGTGTAGCACCTGTAAATTAGTACAATCATCTGAATGCTGAACAACTAAGTGGACGGGTTAAATAAAAACAAGCAAAATTAGCCATAGCATTTTATTATAATAATAATAATCCTTGCATTTGACGTAGAGCCTTATCACATCGTTAAGACGTCTCAAAGCGCTTCACAGAATAGATTTTAAAGTGGATTGACTGTATATTTTTAAATGAGTTAAACTTTTTGGCAAAGCATTTTCATAAAAAATATAAAAAGGAAAGGATAGATACAGAATCACTTTGGGTACAATTAAAAGATGGTAACAGAGGTAAGCTATTACTGGGGATCTGCTATAGACCCCGAAGCCAGGGTGAAAGCCTCAATCAGGAACTGTAGGATGAGACAAGGAAGGCTACTAGTAAGGGACCAACCATAGTGATTGGAAATTTTAATTTATCTGAAATTGATTGGGATAATAATGTGTATACTGGTAAGATAGGGAAGGAGTTTCTAGAGTTAATGAAAGACTGTTTTATGACTCAGTTTGTAAAAGAGCCAACAAGGGGAGACAACATTTTGGATTTGATAATGAGCAACAGGGATGACCAAATCTCCAACGTAAAGGTGGGAGAAACATTAAGCAACAGCGATCACAATGCAGTCATATTTGACATCATAAGTGTTGATGAGATTATAAAAACTCAAACAAATTTCAAGAGGACTGACTGCGCACTTGAGAAGTCTAGTCGGAGTGAGCCTGGCAGGCTTAAATATGGCAATGGGAGAGGAGGACCTATGGAGTTCATTCAAGGAGGTGATTATGAAGGCAATGGAACAATGTGTACCCTATCCCTGGGATTTCCATGTGCAAGTGGGATGCATGGAACTCTCAGCTTGGTTTGGTTACTCTTAAGTATGCAAAGCAAAGGTACCAAGCTTAAAGGCACTCCTGTCTGGTTGGACCCGGCTACAAAGCAAATCATAAAGAGGAAAAAAAAAGCATTTTTAAGGCCATGAAGGGAAATGGCACATAAATAAGTCGGACTCAATACCAGAAAGATGCCAGGACTGTAAAAAAGCCATCAGAATGGCAAAGAAAAGCTTTGAATTGAACATGGCAAGAGATGTGGAGGATAATAACAAAAAGTTTTTTAATTACATTAAGAGTAGAAGAAAAACAAGCAATGGAATAGGACCACTGAAGGTGGGTTCGGGAGAGAACATGACAAGTAATGCTGCTCAGGCTGCAATAGTACTAAATAAGTTTTTTGCATCAGTCTTTACCAAGGAGGAGATGGGTAACCTATCTGATCTGGAAAGAGAACTCAAGGATGTCGCAGAGAAATGATGCAACACTATTCACTATCAGCATGGTTGCCAAACAACTGTGTAAACTTAAGGTAAATAATTCTCAGGGGCCGGATAAATTGCATCCGAGCATCCTTAATGAACTAAGGGAGGAAGTCGCAGAAACACTGGCACAAATCTTTCAAAAAGCACTGAATACTGGAGAGGTGCCGGGGGACTGGAGAAAGGCAGATGTTACTCCTATTTTTAAGAAAGGTAACAAAAGTGACCCAGGAAACTACAGAACAGTAAGTTTGTAGTTTTCTGGGTCATTCAGAACTCTAGCTGCTGCACCAGGCTCTATGACCCTATCACCCCTATCGCCTGGCTCCCCATCCCCCAAAGGATAGTCCATTATGAGTAAAATTATGGAGACTCTTATCAAAGCTAAAATCATGGAGCATCTGGACTGAAATAATATCATAAATGATAGCCAATATGGGTTCATGAAGGGAAGTCTTGCCAATCTAATTTACTGGTTTTCTTTGACATTGTGACAAGGGAAATTGACAAGGGTAAAGCTGTGGATATTGTATATCTGGATTTCAGTCAGGCCTTTGATACAGTTCCTTTTGAGAGGCTGGTACTGGAAGTAAAAAAAGCAGGAATCAGTGGAGATATATTACATTGGATACGCAATTGGTTGACCGGAAGAACCCAGAGGGGGTGGTACAGAGAATGTGATCAGATTGGGAAAATGTTACCAGTGGAGTTCCACAAAGGCCTGTTTTGGGACCTCTTTTGTTTAATATTTTTGTAAATGATCTGGAACTGGGAGTCGCAAGCACAGTGGCTATCTTTGCAGATGACACAAAGCTAATGAAGGTGATAGATTGTGTAAATGAACAAAGTAGTTTACAGGATGATTTGAACATTCTTGGGAATTGGGCAGATCGGTGGCAGATGAAATTCAATGTGGAAAATGTAAAGTAGACCATAAGACGTAGGAGCAGGAGTAGGCCATTCGGCCCCACAAGCTTGCCCTGCCATTTAATAAGATCATGGCTGATCTTCTAACCTAATTCTATTTACCCGGCCTATCCCCATATCCCTTAATCCCTCTATCCTTTAGAAATCTATCAACCTCAGTCTTGAGTATGTTCAAAGTCTGAGCATCCACAGCCTTCTGGGGTAGAGAATTCTACAAATTCACTACCCTCTGAGTGAAGAAATGTTTCCTCAACTCAGTTCGAAAAGGCTGACCCTTAACCTTGAGACTATGACCCCTAGTTTTAGATTCTCCAACCAGGGGAAACAGTCTCACGGCATCTACCCTGTCAAGACCCTTAAGAATCTTATAGGTTTCTATAAGATCATCTCTAATTCTTATGTTCTATATTCTAGAGAACATAGGCCTAGTTTACTCAACTTTTCCTCATAGGTCAACCCCCTCATTCCAGGAACCAACCTAGTGAATCTACGCTGCACCCCCTTTAAGACGAGTATGTCCTTTCTTAAATAAGGAGACCAAAACTGCATACTATATTCTAGGTGCGGTCTCACCAAGGCCTTATACAACTGCAGCAAGACTTCCCTACTCTTGTACTCTAACCTTTTTGCAATGAACGCCAACATGGCATTAGTCTTCCTAGTTGCTTGCTGTATCTGCATACTAACTTTTTGTGACTGGTGTACCAGGACACCCAAATCCCTCTGAACACTAACACTACCTAGTCTCTCCCCCTCTATAAAATAATCCGCTTTTTATTTTTACTACCTAGGTGAATAACTTCACACTTCCCCACGTTATACTCCATCTGCCACCTTCACTCACCTAGCCTGTCTATTTCCCATCGCATTCTTCGTGTGTCACCCTCACAGCTTACTCTCCCACCTACCTTCGAATTGTCCGTGAATTTAGATATGTTAAGAACTTCACATGGGCCAAAACATCCTAGAAGGGACTATTATTTGAACGGAAGGAAAATAATATGTATGGAAAATGAAAAGGACCTGGACGTCCTGACTTACAATAAATTGAAGCTCTCCCAGCAATGCTCTGTGGCAGTGAGTAAAGCACCAGATGTTGGGATGTATCAAAAGATCAATAGCAAGTCGAAATAGTGGGGTAATCCTGCCACTGTACAAATAATTGGTGAGACCATACTTAGAGTACTGTGTATAGTTCTGGTGGAAGGCGAACTAGACGGACCTTGGTCTAGCATTTGTTATTTTCCTTTTTAACAGTTTTTGCTTATCCGTTGTCTGGCATATGTAGAAACCTATCAGCTTCTTCAGAGTATCCGAACAAGACAATGTTCCTCATATATATGCCACCTACACATGGAAATATCCCGCTGTCTGGAACAGAATGTGCACTCTTTCCCTGGAGAGATACACCCTGCTTACTTAATTTTAAGAGGATTAGGTACAGGCTGGAGCCAAAGCTTCAGGACCCTGAGTGTGTTTTTGGGTATTTCTGGAGTCTGATCAGCTAAACCACACAGTGTGCTATTGAGAGCACTGTCTGACAAGCTTCTCACTGTTTGTCCAGCTAGGATCACCCTAATAAGTAGGGTTTTGGCTTGCAGGGTTAACGGGAGCCGAGTGGGCAGAATTATTGCCCCCAAACTTATTAGTAGATGGTATGAACCTCTCAAGACATACTCATATAAATAGATTATACTGTGTTTGGTTCATCGCTTGGTGTATGAGGCTGCTGTCAAGACTTCTCTCTTAATTTGAAATGCAATGTGTGTGACTGATATAATTTGTGGTGACAAAGCACTGTCAGCTTAATGCAGCAGTGCTACAGTCAAGCCTTACTTTGGCTTCCGTGCTCTCCGATAACTTCACCACCTGCACCTTTTCTGTGAGCGCCTGGCGTTCCCTCAGCAGCTCGTTCTGCTTATGCAGCAGCTCCACCACTTGCTGTGCACTGGCCTGACAGTGCTGGTCCAACTGTCGCAGTCTGAAAAAAATTGCACGTTCATTTCAGAATACAACTCAGACCTCAAGAACATCCTGACAATACAAAGTGGCAATAAATAGTTTGTCCCAAGGCTTGTGTGGGGTCTCAATAGCATTAGCAAATCCTATAACCCTTAGTTGCTGACTTGCAACCTCAATGGCCTGCCNAAAAAACATTTGTAAGCGACTCTCTGTTATGACCTTTATGTACATATTAAACGCATTGTTTCTACAGAGATGTGTAAGCTCTAGTTAACTGCAAGTGTACTGAAAATAGCACACTTTGTTCTGATCAAATATGCAGTTGCAAGGACAAGTAGTAATTGTGCCATATAGTTTTGAGACGGAATCAAATCCTTGGTTGTCTCCCCATTTACGTTGAGCAATGCACCACCTGCAATTTAAGAATGACTGGCCTGTTCTCAAAGTTTGCCAATTCTGTTCTCTCGAGGCAAGAGTGAGAGGTTGGGCTACAATTCGCCCTCTTATTTTCTATTTCCCTGTTACATGGCATCTGGCCTTCAGTCCCACCTCTCTATCCTCTGCCTCAGATAAGCATCAAACCAGTATTTCTGTTTTCTGTGGTTTTTCCCCTCCTCTAAGGTGTTTTAACAACCCATCAATAAAAACTCCAATTCCAGCAAATTTTGGGGCATGCCACAAATAATGAAACAATTCTTGTGCCACTCTCCACAGATTAAAAATGAAAAGGCTCAAAATGGTTTTAAATGGGATATTTTTACTTTAAAAAATCTACCTTGAATATCACATTTGAATAACTTTTTCACAGAAAGTGTTGTGAGGATGTGAAATGCATTGTCAGGAAGTTGTAAACGCATGACTAGTTAGGATGTTTAAAAGATAGGTGGATAGATACTTGGGTAGTAAGGATATGAAGGGATATAGAGAAAAGCCAGGGAAATTGGATTAAAATATCTGTTATTATCTAATTTAGAGAAAGCAGTTCCCCAGATGAACAATGCCCAGATAAAATTGGCTATTCACTTCATGGCTAATCGTGGGACATGCTGTGCACAAATTGGCTGCTATATTCACCTACAAAGTATACAGTCACAACACATTCTGTATATTTTGTAAGTGAACGTAATTCTGTGAAGTGCTTTGAGACCTTTCCCCGATTTGATAGTCACTGTACCAATTATTACAATTAAATGACTGAACAAATTTATCTCTTTGATCATTAAAGATGACCATTTTTGGGCACGAGGCAATCATTTTTGTGAACCAAATTCAAGTGCAGTCCAGAGTTCGGAGGTTTCCCAAGCAGGTTGATAGAAATTGGCCACCAATTCTGCTTGGAAATATTAATTTGAAGATCTCAATTTCTGCAGAACAAAGCTTGAAGAGAAGCGGAAAGCTTATAATACAGCCACATGTATTTTGATGTCCTTCCAAAATGAGCACAGTTCATGTTTCTGATTCATTTCCTCAAATAAGCAACGAGTCAACTTTCAGGTATTAAAAAAGACTTCAATTTCTCTTTTTGTTTTGAATTCAAGAAAGCTCAGCTTTTTTTCTCTGTCTGCTTTGCTAAACACATTTATCTCATTTCTAAATTTTGAGCAGAATGGTTTAATTGTGATTCTGCAGTCCACTATGAGCAAGAATAGCCAGGATGCCACACCACACAGATGTGAGTAAAATATTAGTGCTGCAGATAAATACTAATAATGCTTGCATTTTTATAGTGCCTTACCACATTGTTGAAATGCACTTCATGGGATTTACTATGAAGTGTAGTGACTGTGTATTTGTAGGAGAAAGAGGCAGCCAATTTGTGAACATTAGTGTCCCACAAACAGCCATGAAGTGAATACCATTTTTATTTGGAGGATTGTTGATCAGGACACAGGGAGAAAGTTCCTACTCTTTTCGAACAGTGTAAATAGTTCAAATAGAGATCTTTAACGTTTCATTAGCCATTTGTTTTAACATTTCATCTGAAGGACGGCACCTCCAACAATCTAGCATCTGGAGTCCTGTAGCTCAGTGGTTAGAGCACTCGCTTTGCAAGCGAGAGACCTGAGTTCAATTCCAGGCAGAGGGCGAAACCTTGGGCAAGTTTCCTTACTCCACACAGAGCCTAATAATAATCTCTCCAAAACAAAAAAAAATAATAAATTGGTCATTTTCAATCTACGACTGTTTGTGGGACACTGCTGCGCGCAACTGGCTGCCGCGTTCGCCCACAAATATACAGTCAATTCACTTTACAGTATATTCTGTGAAGCACTTTGAGACGTCTAGAAGACGTGAAAAGCGCTATATCAGATGCAAGGATTATTATTATTATTATTATTATTATTATTATTATTATATTATCTGTCTGGAAAGCTTTCCTGCTGCTTATCCAGCTAGGACCACGCCACCGTTAGGGCTTTGGCTTGCCAGGTTAACAGGAGCTGAGTGGACAGCCCCAGCACTGCACTAGAGTGTCAACTTAGAGTTCAAAGTCCTAATGTTGGGTTTGAACCCACGACTTTCTGACTCAGAAGAGAGAGAGCTACCAATTGATCTAGATTGACGCACTATCCCACCTTAAATCCTAACTCATAAACTACACCTACAGTCACTCTCCCTCTTTCTCCACTCGATGTCCAACCACATCAATGTGAAGTACTCCAAAACAGTATCCTTTGTGAAGGGCACGATATAAATGCAAGTTTTTGAATAATGTCATGGGCTCTTTTAACATCTATCTTAAGAACCATAGGGGCCTTACTTTAATGTCTCATCCCAAGGACAGCAATACAATGCCACCCCCCAGCATTGCATTGGAGACTATGGCCGTTTCGCCCACAAATATACAGTCAATTCACTTTACAGCATATTCTGTGAAGCGCTTTGAGACGTCTAGAAGACGTGAAAAGCGCTATATCAAATGCAAGGATTATTATTATTATTATATGAGTCCAACTTGTACTTCAATCCACAACCTTGTGTCTCAGAGGTGAGAGTGCTACCAACTGAACCAGATGAAACCTACAGAGAGAATCAGGCAGGGCAGCCGGCCTCTATACCCAGCAAGTGGTGCAAATACAATTTTATTATTTAAATAAATTTAGCGTCATCCTGAATTGGCCAAGTCCCTTTGTGCATTCATTTGAGTTTCATCTGATATTGGCTATGTTTTCGGCCAACCAATTAGATAGCTAATTGGTGTATAATTTGTAGCTGCTTTAGTTAACTTAGCTCATGGCAATCAATTTTTTAAAAGAAATCTATATTGTAAGAATTATCCTCCTTTATTTTAGAAGTAAACCATTAATTGTAAGATGTCCTCGCTTTGCGTTTTACGTGGTACTAAATGTAAATTTGCTGTTTGCTTAGATGATCACCACTTTACTGAACCAAAGGTCTGTCACAGACATTTTAGTAAAGTTTCTGTACATATATTGAGCTAGGTAATCATGTTAGAGTGGCTTTACTTTAGCAGGCTTACTCAGCAATCTTGCAAAGGGAGGCACCAAACTTTCAAATCATTCTTGTATTTAATATAGCACCTTATCACATCATTAAGATGTCTTAAAGTGCTTCAGAAGTAAAGGTATGAAGGGACATGGAGAAAAGCAGTACAGTGGAATCTAATAAAATGGCCTTCTCCTGTTCCAATGTTCCTAGTCTCTGTTCTAATGTCCAAAGACTATAAGCATAGAGCTGATGACACTTCAGGAAGCATTTAACAAGATCATCATAACAACTTAAAGTGCAAGTGTCTACAGAAAGAAATCTGATTGAACTCTTGACTGATGGGTTGTTGAAGGTGGATAGCAAGTTAGAATCACTGTCTCCGATTGAAAGAGGAAATAAGAAATCACTTTAAGCAGAATGCAAAGCTAAGCTTTAAGCTCTGTTTGATCGTGACGCCAAATCAAATCAAAGCAACTAGCAAAGTGATTTTCCAAATTATGAAATTGAACTTCCAAGAATTAAGAGGCCCAAATGGAGCAGTTCTTCTCTCTTATGAGATCAAAGCTGCCGACTGTCTGCAGGCATGGGATAGTTCCCAGAGCAATTCAGGCCATACTACAATATATATTTGTGAACTTGAATAACTTTGGGCCATTTGCATTGTTGATCTGAAAACATCAGCAATGCAATTCTTTCAATTGATAATGGCCAATCTTTATGACATGCCATCCTGACAAAGAGACAGGATCCTGGCACAATCCCTCTATCTAAGATATAATAGGGAACAATTGATGGAACAGTTATAGCAAAAACAGATTTGCATCTGAAATCACAACAACGGTTGATACACCCAGATTACTTCATCTTCATGGATTAGTGTACAATCTATAGGAAGGGGGCTAGATTCTGAAAGAATTATATGAAGGAAATACGACTCTAGAAAAGCATGCATTCTCCAACTATATAAGTACGGCAGTGACAGAATGTATTTTGTGAGCACCGGGGGTCTTATGAAAGGCAAAAATAGAGTATATATTATACTATATTATACTATATTGGTAACTCTATTCCTGGCTGAATGGTGATTTAAAATTTGGTGCCTCTGAGGTCTATTGCAACAGTTGGCAGATTCTTGGGTAGACTGCCTGAATTATGGGTTAGGGTTAGGGTTGAAATGTGGAGTCCTGCAGCTCAGTGCAAGCACTCTCTTTGCAAGCGAGAGATCTGAGTTCAATTCCAGGCAGGGCGAAACCTTGGGCAAGTTTCCTTACTCCACACGCCTAATAATAATCCCTCCAAAACCCAAAACAATAATAAATTGGTCATTTTCAATCTACGACTGTTTGTGGGACATTGCTGTGCGCAATTGGCTGCCACGTTCGCCCACAAATATACAGTCAATTCACTTTACAGTGTGTTCTGTGAAGCGCTTTGGGACGTCCTCCTGACGTGAAAAGCGCTATATCAAATGCAAGGATTATTTTTATTATTATTATTATCTGAGGTAGAGAGAATCCGCTTGAACTTTTACTGTTGGAAAAATTTGACCTCATGAGATTCACAATAAGA